GCGGTATCTAACTGAATAATGTATATATTTAAGTCACAAGTTAAATATTCAGCTTGTTAACTAAATATTAATTTGTAAGTTAAATATTTAGTTTGTAAACTATGACATTTATAAATGTATGAATCATATGGTGAAAAACTGACTTTGAAAAATCAATATGTTCTTTGTTTCTTATAAAAGGCTAAATAAAACAAAAATATTGGTAATAATTTTTGACTGTGTGACTTTACGAACAGCAGCCCATAACCGTCTGTTCTTCATTTGTAGACCAGACAGGAGTACCGGGTTTTACAAGGTGCCATGATCAACGCCCAGTTTGTTCAGAGAGGAAGAGAAGTTTCTGCTCGAAGGCTGCGTTACAACGCTAAGAAATCAGACACTTGGTTTGTGGACTACAGGAACCAGGGTTATGTCACTGAGGTTAAAGATCAGGTATGATGCCCCCGGGTTTTGATCRGATCTAACGTAGACCGGATTTTACCCAGCTTTGTTTTTTGGGTCTGTCTGACAGGGGTACTGCGGTTCATGCTGGGCTTTCAGTACCACTGGTGCAATAGAGGGGCAGCTGTACAAGAAGACAGGTCAGTTGGTCTCCTTGAGTGAGCAAAACCTGGTGGACTGCTCCAAACCGTACGGTACTCATGGGTGCAGCGGTGCCTGGATGGCCAACGCATATGACTACGTGATCAACAACGGGCTGCAGGCATCAGACAGCTACCCCTACACCTCAGTGGTGAGGCTCAGTCTGCAGGCGCCCTCGTGATGAAGGGAGAAGCATTCTGCACCCGGCCTGACACCTCTTTCCTTCCACAGGACACACAGCCTTGTTTTTATGACAGCCGGMTGGCAGTGGCACACATCAGAGACTACAGGTTCATTCCTCAGGGAGACGAGCAGGCTCTGGCTGACGCTGTGGCAACGGTCGGCCCCATCACTGTAGCTATAGACGCTGATCACTCCAGCTTCCTGTTCTACAGCTCAGGTTATCTGTCAGACATGAGATGATCTGTTTGATCAAATGTTTACCTGCTTCATGTGCAGCTGTGTTTTAAAGGGATCCCCGATTAGTTGTAACATTACACTTTATATGATAAACATATATTTTAACTGTAAAATAAAGACTGTAAAAATACTGTAGGATGTTTAGTTTCGTAAATTTTTAAAAATATACTTAATACGGACAGAGCCATTTTATTTAAAAGCAAAGCATTCTGGGTAAATGATGACGTGGATAGGTCCTCGGTGCGAGGCTGCTAGCGAGCTATATCCACCCTGAAGGTTAATGTTGGATAATATCTGATGATCGACTCTTTTAAATGAAACCAGAGAGCGTTGACAGAGAGGAGAAGGTAGAAATGACTCAG